ATATATATATATATATAATTAATTAATGGTATTCTTGAAAGACTTAATTTAATGAACAGTTTAATAATTTTTGTATTTTCTTTTATTTCGTTTATTATCTTTAAATGCTGTGAAATTCATTTATTATTTTTTACTTTTATTTCAGTTTAATCTAATATGTTAGCTTTCTAATAGCAGTTTTATTCTATTTGATTAAATTGATTTTCAACTATATTTTTTTGTGAATTTTTACTTGTTGGAATTAATTTTGAAATAAAACTAATTTTGTAAGGATAATAAGTTCATTTTTATTGTTTGAAAAACTGTAACATTTATCATATGTTGCTTCAACTTTTCATTTTGACAATTTTCTTTTGTAACATAAACTATAATTATTGACATATTTTAATAGTTTGCACAGTCAGTCATGAATTGCTTTATCGGTTGGGACTTCTCTATTTTAATTTTAATTTAACTTTTTTGCTATATTTTAGTTAAAACTAATGGAAGTTTTATACAATTAACTATTTTGAAATATTTTACAAAATTTATAGATTATTTACAAAGAAAACTAACTTTCTCGACTAAAATAAAATTAAGTTAATAGTTAATAGTTAATAGGTTAATCATTAAATTAAACTCTCTTGTAATATAACATATCGGATAACTTTTCTCTAATTAAAATATGAATAAATTGTAAAAATAAATGGAATTTTAGATTTAATTATTGAATAAATAAATAAAATAATTGATAGCTGCAATTGAGTTTCATTCACACATTATCTGTATATGTAGGCCAGAAGCTAAGTACAACTAACTTTTTTTTTTGCCCCCTGATTAAGAAATCTTCAAGAACTAAAATTGATTTAAAGTATATCTAAAATTTTGTCCTTACCTAATTCATAAATAAATTTCATTTCAGCTTTATAAGTTCTTCCTCTTAAAATTGGATCAATACAAAATTGTACTTCCTCGCATTAGGGAAAACAAGAATGTTGAAAATATATATCTTGACTTTTTTGCCTTTTTAATTTTTCATCTTGATTTTGGGATGAGTTGGGGAGAAATATGGAAAATGATGTCTAATGGATTTCTTGAAAGATGAAAACCATGGTGGGGTTTTGGAATGTCTGCTAATAGGATTGATACTTTTTTATTTTTTATTTTTTAGTAAAGCTTGTTTTAGTGTAAGGATTAATTTTATTAAAAATTTGAAAAGTATATGCACTAAACTATGATTTAACGATTTCCCTTGACTGCCGTGATCAGATTTTTAAATGAGTGGTATGAAAGCGTTAACAAAGGGTTAATTTGCTTATATCTAGACCTGGGAAAATTAGATCAAATCCAAAAATCTGACCCAATATATCCGTTATGGGTAGGATCATGAGTCTTATGTGTTAATCCAAAATATAAAACAATCCGGACTTAAATTATTTAAACCCAAATGGGTTGGTTTACGAGTGGGTTAAGTCATCCGAAATGACTCAAATTATTTATTTATTTATTTTATACAGATAATTTTTCTAATTTGTATGTTATGTCAACAGTGATTGCCTTCCCAAGAAGATAGCATACCTGATAAATCATTGATATAAAACTAATAAATGTAAGTATTTCATAAAATTCACATTAGTGTAAGTTGATCTTGCTTCAAATATAATTAGCAGTTAATATTGAATGGGTATATATGTATTTGCCTTAGAAAATTAAAATTTAAAATATATTGATATTTAAAATATTAGAGTATTAGTAAAATTATTTAAATATTTTAATAATTTTTTTAATATATTAATTTATTAAAAGTATTTAAATCTTTTAATTATTATTTTTTAATATTTAAATTATTAAAATATCTTAATTTTTTATAATCTCTTATTTTTTATAATGTAAATATATT